TGCTTGGGAGTGGCTCTATATTAAGGCTGGGGGCCTGAGGTATGCAGGTGCAGACGGGTTAGAAATAACTAAAGAGGTGAACTTTGTCACTTTGTTGTCCTGTGATGGCTTACATGTTGCTGCGAGCCTGGGGGCTATGCCACTGTGTTGCAAAATGCCAGCAGGGTTACTTATGGTGGACAGGTTTCAGCAGAGCTTCTGGGCTTAGACAGACTCAGTAGAAGGAAGAGACCATCCACTTCTCAAAGAATTGGCCAGTGAAAACCTTATGAATAGCAATGAAACACCGCAACATGGACTTCACCAGACGGAATACACAGGAATCAGACTGACTACATCTGTGGCAAGAGATGACGGAAAAGTTCAATATCTTCAGCCAAAACAAGGCCAGGAGCTGACTGTAGAACAGACCATCAACTGCTCATACACACATTCAAGTTGAAGTTGAAGACAATTAAAACAAGGCCATGAGAGCCAAAATATGACCTTGATAATATCCCTCCTGAATTTAGAGACCATTTAAAGAATAGATTTGATGCACTGAACACCAATGATCGAAAACCAGAGGAATTGTGGGATGACATCAAGAATATCATCCATGAAGAAAGCAAGAGGTCATTAAAAAGACAAGAAAACATGAAAAGACTAAAATGGATGTGAGAAGAGACCCTAACACTTGCCCTTGAGCAGAGAGTAGCTAATGAAAGAAATAGCAAGATAAAAGAGCTGAACAGAAGATTTCAAAGAGCAGCTCGAACAGACAAAGCCAATTACTATAATGAAATGTGCAAAGACGTGGAGTTAGAGAACCAAAGGGAAGAACACACTAGGCATTTCTCAAGCTGAAAGAACCGAGGAAAAAAATTTAAGCCTTGAGTTGCAATACTGAAAGATTCTATGGGCAAAATATGAATGATGCAGGAAGCATCAAAAGAAGATGGAAGGAATATACAGAGTCACTGTACCAAAAAGACCTGGTCGATCTTCATCCATTTCAGGAGGTGGCGTATGATCAAAAACCAGCAAGACCAAAGGAAGAAGTCAAAGCTGCACTGAAGGAATTGGCAAAGAACAAGGCTCCGGGAATTGACGGAATATCCATTGAGATGTTTCAACAAATGGATGCTCACTGGGAGGCACTCACTTGGCTATGCCAAGAAATTTGGAATTCAGCTACCTGGTCAACTGGCTGGAAGAGATCCATATCTGTACCCATTCCAAAGAAAGGAGATCCGACAGAATGTAAAAATTATCAAACAATATCATTAATATCACATTCAAGTAAAATCTTACTGAAGATAATTCAAAAACGGTTGTAGCAGTATATTGATAGAGAGCTTCCAAAGTGCAAGCTGGATTCAGAAGAGGACGTGGAATAAGGGATATCCTTGCTGATATAAGATGGATCTTAGTGAAAACAAAGAATAACAGAAAGATGTTGACTTGTGTCTTAATTGACTGTGCAAAAGCATTCAATTGTGTAAATCATAACAAATTGTGGATAACATTAATAAGAAGGGGAATTCCAGAACACTTGATTGTACTCATGAGGGACCTATACATACATCAGGAGGCTGTCATTCAAGCAGAACAAGGGGATGCCTCATGGTTCAAAATCAAGAAGGGAGTGCCTCAAGATTGTATCCTTTCACCATACTTACTCAATTTGTATGCTGAGCAAATAGTCTCAGAAACTAGATTATATGAAGAAGAACATGGCATCAGGATTGGAGGAAGACTCATTAACAACCTGCGATATGCAGACGACACAACTTTGCTGCTGAAAGTGAGGATGACTTTAAGTACTTATTGATGAAGATTAAAGACTACAGTATGAAGTATGGATTATACCTCAATATAAATAAAACAAAATTCCTCACAACTGGTCCAATAAACAGTTTCATGGTGTATGGAGAAAAGATTGAACTTGTCAAGGACTTCACATTACTTGGCTCTACAGTCAACACCAATGGAAACAGCAGTCAAGGCATCAGACGACATATTACATTGGTCAAATTTGCTGCAAAGACCTCTCAAGTGATGAAGAGCAAAGATGTCTCCTTGAAGAACTAAGGTGCACCTAACCAAAGCCATGGTATTTTCAATCACCTCATATGCATGTGAGAGCTAGACAATGAATAAGGAAGACTGAAGAAGAGTTTATGCTTTTGAGCTGTGGTGTTGGAAAAGCGTGCTAAGAGTACCATGGACTGTTAAAAGGACTAACAAATCTGTCCTGGAGGAAGTGCAGCCAGAATGCTCCTTGGAAGTGAAAATGGCCAGAATTATTCTCACCTACTTTGGTCATGTTGTCAGAAGGAACCATTCCCTGGAGAAGAATATCATACTTGGTAAAGTGGAAGGTCAACGAAGAAAGGGAAGGCCCTCAACGAGATGGATAGACACAGTGAGTGCAATGATGGGGTCAGGTATAGCAAGGATTGTGAGGCTGGCACAGGACTGGGCAGTGTTTTGTTTTGCTGTGCACAGGGTCACTATGAGTTAGAGATGACTCGACAGCACCTAACAACAACAGCAAGTATGTAAGGGACAGTGCATCATCTCTTATGCCAGCAATAGGTTCCTCTTCAGAGGAAACACCAGAGAAATAACTAAAGGTTGTGCTGGTTTCTGATACACAAAGAGAAGTTATTACATATTTTGTTGCTTAAAATATTATTTTTTCAGTAGTGCAAAATGAAAGCCCCAAGAAACAGAGTTTAGAATTGCATTAAACTTAATCATTGATACTTAGACAATCTTCCTCTTGCTTTTCTAGCAATTCACTGGTTTAAAAAAAATCAGTTTAGTTAATATTACTGTCTTAAAGGCATCAGCAGAATAGTCTATTAACACAATTCAGGCAAACAAGCCTTCAGTGTTTGTGGGGTCACAACTCAAACTCTGCATCAAACTGTTGCACTGGACCACCTACTGTAAACTTGTTTGCTCCCTAAATATGAAATCCTTTATTGCAGCCTTTTGTGAATAAAATAAACCCCTTGAGTGGCACGTGCTGTTTATAGGTTTGATGAAAACAACATTTTGTAATTATTCCTATTGTTACTTTTAGTTGAATCAACAAACTGAGTGACATCCATATAGCACTGAATGAAGAGAGGCATATAACAGCTTCTTTCAGGTGCTAACTCAAACAAGGAATGCAACATTATTGACCCCTGTACACTAGTCAGAACCCTTCTGGCAGTTTTTTTATTTTCCTACAGTGGTAGATCAAGTCACTTAACAAAAGCCAAGAGACGCCTCATGCATCAAAATTCAAAGAGAAAAACTTTTACTGGAAATGAATATATACACATATTATATATTTTCATATATAAACATATATACTATTTTTTAAAATTTTCTAGATTATCTAAAGAATAGAAAATATTTTCTCTGCAAGCCTAAGGCACTTGACTGCTAACCAGAAGCCTGGTGGTTCAAACCCACCAGCCACTCCTCAGAAGGAAGGTTGGGTAATTTACTTCCGTAGTGATACTGCCTCAGAAACCCAAGGAGGGGTCACTATGAGTTGGGTCTGACTCGACAGCACATAACAACAACATTATTACTTATAGTAGAAGTCATTAGTTTTTTTTTTTAGCCCATGTGGTAGGCAAAATAAAGACCTCCCATAGATGTAGATGTCCTCGTTAAAGAAACAGATGGAATTAAAATGACTTTAAAACAGAGAGATTATCCTGGATTACCCAGATGGGCCCAAGGTAAACACAAGTGTCCTTAACTACAGAAGAGGGAGGCAGAAGAGTCTGTCACCATCTGATAACAAAGATTCGATGGGCCATTGCTGGCTTCAAGATGGAACAGGGCCATGAGGAAAGGAATGCAGAGAGCCTACAGAAGATAGAAAAGACCAGAAAATGGATTCACCCTTCAAAAAATAAAACAACTCACTGCCATCAAGTCAATTCTGACTCATACTGACCCCCTGTAGGTTTCTGATACAGTAAATCTTTATGGAAGTAGATTGCCCAGTCTTCCTTCTGTGGAGTGGCTTGTGTATTTGAACCACCAACCTTCTGGTTAGCAGTCAAATGCCTTATGCACTATGCCACCAGAGCTCCTTGGATTCTCCCTCAAATGAAACAAACAAACAAACAAACTGCCATGGAGTTGATCCTGACTCTTAGCGACCCCTCCTTGGGTCTTGAGGCAGTATCTGTACAGAAGTAGACAGCCCAGTCTTCCTTCTGAGGAGGACTGGTTAGCAGTCAAGTGCCTAAGGCACTAAGCTACTAGAGCTCCTTAGAAAGAAACACATCCCTGTGGATATCCTGATTTTAGTCCACAGAGACTCATTTTGGACTTCTGACTTCCAGAACTGCAACATAATAAATTTATGCTTTAAGAAACTAAGTTTGTGATGATTTGGTACAATAGCAATAGGAAATGACTATATGCAATTAAGAAATGAGGTTCAAATATGAACAATCTATCCATCTTTCTGTTAGTTTTTAAAACATGTAGCCAATTATCCATATAATCTAACCAAGTGTTAAGACTTTCTGATCTCAGAACTTCTGTGACACATTAACCACAAAAATTCCAATGCTAAACATTCATGCTTACCTTTAAAGGTATAAATAAATATTATTACCAAGGAATAACAAAGTTATTTGTTTCTTGTTCTTCATGTAAACTTGTAATATATGACAATTAATTTGTGTCATGTTAAAAACAAAGACAATTATATATGTTATTAAATGTGCACAGTATAAGTCTGGCTAAGCCGATAAAGCAAAAACCTATAAGTTACCTTACTAAATAGCCATTTAGTTTGATTAACCTGTTTCCTTCTAAATTCTGTGTATATTACTGTCAGAGACAAACCACTTGGAAAAAATCCAAGTTTCGCAGTCCATGAAAAAGCAAAAAACAAACTGTTATTTTTAGTGACTGCACAGGGAAGCAAGTGGAGATCATTTCTGACCTATGACAAAACATGAAGAGTCAACCATCTCAGAGCGCCCACATACCAAGGAGTTATTATTCAGGTCCATCTTCCCAGCAAACGGCCCCCAAGTCGTTCCCACAGGAAGCTGCTGCCGACTCTGAATTTTCCGTTCTCCATCTTTTTGAAACACCTCCAACTCCCCTGCAGACAAAGAAAACAAGAGGTGTTTTGAGTACTTTCACTTGTATCTTAACAAAAGCCACTTTTTCTATGTGCTTGTTTTAGTTGCACGATATTCTCAGGATTCGAATAAAGAGAATCAATTATGCTTGTCTGTAAAACAGCTGATCTTATGATCCTCAGAGAAAAATAAACCTAGTCTTTGTATTCAGATTTAACCCAGTTTCTTTCTTGCACTTTTTCACATATCATCTTCTGAAATTAATTCTATGTAAGTAGTCTTTAAGAACCAGAAACAATGATTCTTCCTCAAAACAGCTGGGATTCAATGCCAAAGCAGGTTGACCAGAAACATTAATGAGCATCTTAGGGTTAAATTTATTACTGTATTTGATCGCCAATGTAGTTTAAAAAGAACTGACAACAATATTTAGCTCAAGCCATAAATTTATGACAGTTGTTCAAGACCCTTGTGAGAAAATAACCTGTATGATTTTTGAAAGTAACTTGATCATTTTCTGAAATTTCTACTAGTTTTAATTAATAAAACATCTACATGCACAAGAGGTTTATCAAAATAAAGAGTACTGAGACACAGTTGTTACTTTTTTAATATCTGGTATTTTAAGTAGAGTTATATGTTACCAAAAGGTCTTAGACAAAACACTTAAGAAACAGAAAATTTGAGGTAGTATCTCTCTCTCTCTCTTTTCTTTCCCCCTCTCCTCCAAAGTAAACTCTGCAATCATTAAAAGGAAACATGAAACTAAGACAGTAAACACAGTGGCATAAGTAGGAATTCATCAAATGCTTGTCTAAGGAATAAATAGTTAATAAGAACAATAATAAAGATAACTAAAAAAGGGTTTCAAAAATTAAAAAAAAAAGGCCATGAGACTATATCCTGTTTGGAATAAACAGAAAATAGTCTCAGTTAGGATTTGGAGCTTCTTCCTTAAGGTGCACTGGTGATGCAGTGCTTAAAGTGCTTGGCTGCTAACCAAAATGTCTGTGGTTCGAACCTACTAGCTACTCAACAGGAAACATTGGCAATCAGCTTGGCAAGGCAGCCTTGGAAAGCCTATGAGGCCATTCTACTCCATCCTGTAGGATCACTACGAGTAGGAACAGACTCAAGTCAACGGGACTTTTTGGTTTTCTCTTTAAATAACTAAATCTATCTACTTCTGTAGTGATACTGCCTCAGAAACCCAAGGAGGGGTCACTAAGAGTCGGGTCTGACTCGACAGCAGTGAGTTTTCTTTTACTATCCTTATGCCTTAACATTACTCTGACTCCAATTTTATGTTTTAAAATATTACCTCAGTAGTATAACTTAATGTTTTATTTTAATGGTATTTCTTAACAGCATACATGAGATTCCATAGGCAATGGAAGCTAAGTGGAAACACAGGCAGAACAAAACGCTGATAAAAGTCCTAAATGGAATATAACGCATTTTCTAAATGACCAGAATTAAGTTGCCTTAATCTGGCTTTAACTTCTTAAGTCAACAAGTATCTTTAAATATGTAGAGTTATTCTTAGTGTTTTAGAAAACAACACAATCACCCTGAGTTCAATTATATCTCCTCTTTATTTCTTTACATTTAGCTCACCTCCCTTTAATAGTTAAAATATCAGGCATTACTCTCCATGTTTTTGCTAGTGTTTATCCTAAAAAGCAAAATCAAAGTAAATAAACCACAACCAGTTAAAATAGTGTGCAGTGCTTAAAATGTTAAATTGTTTAAAATGTAAAGTATGTTAAATTATTAAACATAAGTTTTATCTTTACGATAAATTTATCTGAATTATAGTTGAGGCATAGTCTGACAATAAACATTCAATGGAAATAATAATTTTATGTTCACACTTGAAACTTCAAATTTAATGTCTTCATGTCAATTCTCCTCCTCACACCCCACCCTCTCCCTATAGTCACATACATTAAAATGGACCAAATTTGTCGGAGTCAAGTCCAACCCATAGGACTCATTAAATTAATAAAGGTTTCGCTCTCTCTCATTTTTTGCATTCTGTGCATCATGTAGCTAAAGTTGATCAATGGTCAGGAAAACAGACCTGAAAAGACTCAGTAGGTCCCAGCTTCCACAAGATAGTTTTATAAAGAGAACAGTTATATTAGTCTATTTATGCTTAAGTAACACACCCTGAAGCTTATTCACAATCCACAGAAGACAGAACAATAATTTGTTTTCTGTATGAGGAATGGCAAACCCTCTTTCTGAGATATGCCATTGAAAATGTCTGTTCTTCATCTATGTGGAATCTTTTTGATTAATACATTCAAATCATAGGCCCTGAATAGACACATCCTCAAAGACAGGGCACAGCTAAACGTTAAAAAGGAACCAGAGGAGTATCATGTTAGCAAGATGGTAGAGAGTAGACAGCTCTTGTTTCCTCACAGAACATCACAGAACCAGCAGAATCAATTTTGTAAGACTCTGCAAAACAATCTAAGGTTTACATGAACCAAGTGAATGCTGTATTTAAAAAGGAAAAAAAAAGCAATTTTAAAACTGTAGGAAAGCTTTGTGGTTTCTTCACTTGCCTATGACCTACTCCTTGTAAGCTCTGTGGAGGCCTTTGTCCAGTGTGGGACCTGAGGCATGGTTCTGGACAAAGCAGAGTGTACCTTTTTCACAAATCATTGGTGTGTCTGTTCTAACTTGTCTGGTGGCTACCTGAAGGAATGATGTAAGTCACTCATCTCTGTTTCACTGACCTTGGATTTTACTGCGAGTAGAAAAGTGATGGGCATTGCTCAAAAACACTGTAAGGCAAGTGATCAACCCAGGGACATCATATTGACAACATACAAAGAACTCCTACAACTCAACAATAAAAAGACAAGCAAACCAATAAAAAAAAAAATGGGCAAAGGACTTGAATCGACATTTTTCCAAAGAAGATACACAAATGACCAATTAGCACATAAAAAGATGCTCAAATGTCATTAGTCATCGGGAAAATCAAATGCAAATCAAAACCACAATGAGATATCATGTTATATACATTAGTGTAGGGAAGGGAGGGAGGGAAGGAAGAAGGGAGGTACTGATGAAAGAAGGGAAGAAAGGAAGACAGGAAGGAACGAAAGAAGGAAGGAAGGAAGGAAGAAAAGGAAATGTTGGTGAGAAACTGGAACACTTATCCCTTCCTGGTGGGAATGAAAAATGACGCAGCCAAAAATTAACCAAGGAATTATATTACTCAGCAATTCTAGTCTTAAGTATATACACAAAGGAACTGAAAGCAGGAACTCAGGCAGATATTTGTATACCAGCGTTCACAGCATCATATTTAGAATAACCAAAAGGAAGGCTGGGCAATCTACTTCCATAGTGATACTGCCTTGGAAACCCAAGGATGGGTTGCTATGAGTTGGGTCCAACTCGACGACACATAACAACAACAACAAAAGGAGAAACAACCCAAGTGTTCTAATGCATGTTACCACATGGATAAACGTTAAATATAATATGCTGAGTAAAATAAGCATATAAGGACATACCTTGCATGAGTTTACAATATGAAATATTTAGAGTAGGCAAATTCATAGAGACAGAAAAAAATGACTTTACCAGAGAATATGGGGAAGGGGAAATAAAGAGCTATTTAATAGGTACAGAGTTTCTGTTTGGGGTGATGGAAAAGTCTGGGATACAGTGAAGTTGGTTGCACCACTTTTTTAATGTTAGTTAATTTCACCGAACTGTATATTTACATATGGTTAAAACAACAAATTTTATTGTGTACATTTTACTACCTTGCTTGCCAAAAGTGAAGATAAGTTGAAGCATTTGCTGATGAAGATTAAAGACTACAGTCTGCAGTATGGATTATACCTTAATAATAATAATAATAATAATAATAATAATAATAAATCCTGCCAATTGGACCAATAAGCAGCATCACAATAAATGGAGAAAAGATTGAAGTTGCCAGAGATTTCATATTGATTGGGTCCACAGTCAACACCCATGGAAGCGGCAGTCAAGAAATCAGATGATTTCATTGGGCAAATCTGCTGCAAAAGACCTCTTTAAAGTACTCAAAAGCAAAGATGTCTCTTTGAAGACTAAGGTGTGCCTAACCCAAGCCAGGGTATTTTCAATCGCCTCATAAGGATGTGAAAACTGGACAATGAATTAAGGAGGACCGAAGAAGAGTTGATGCTTTTGAGTTGTGGTGTTGGTGAAGAATACTGAAGTACCATGGATTGCCAGAAGAACTAACAAACCCATCCCAGAAGAAGTGCGGCCAGAATGATCCTCGGAAGAGAGAATGGCCAGAATTCGTCTCACCTACTTTGGTCATGTTGTAAGAAGGGACCATTCGCTGGAAAGAGATATCATGCTTGGTAAAGTGAAGGGTCAATAAAAGAGAAGAAGACACTCAACAAGATGGAATGACACAGTGACTGCAATGATGGGCTCAGGTATAGCAAGGACTGTGAGGCTGGAACGGGACCCGGAGATGTTTCGTTCTGTTCTACAAAGAGTCACTATGAGCCAGAGCCGACTCGACTGCACCTAACAACAACAACACAACATGTTTTACTACAATAAAATTTTTAAAAACAGAATCAGTGGGAAACTGCTCTTCAATGCATGCATACATATATATATATATATAATAATGTTTTATTTAAATCAGTTTTCCGTTTAAGAAGGTATTTTATTTTATACCTGATAGTTCTTAGTACTTTTTGTTTGCAGCCATATTTACTTATATTTTTAACAATTTCTTTACAACTTATCACTTAACTCTAAAATATCCTCCAATCCCTCAGCTCAGCATTATTTAAGCACGTTCTTTACACATAAAGATAAAGCCCAAACAATATGCTTGCTTTTACACACTGAAAACCAGTCATGCCATGTTTAAAAAGGATCAGTGGGATCATGAGAATCTTTTGAGATTCTTTTAAAAATTAACTAGGCCTCCCTTTCTTTTTGATTTGAAAAGAGGTCATATTCAGTGAGACAGTGA